TCTGACCAGTTCAGTGTGAACAGTACCGACCTCAGGTCGATGGATATATTTAATGTGAATAATGGCTCTATATCAGGCCAAATGCGTTCATTTTGGTAATGCGGTCCTCATGGAGGAGTAGTTATGTTGATGATTCACTGTCAGGTGTTTCGCGTAGTGATGCATTGCATTGTGTGAGTTGTGAGACGACTCGAGAATTGTTATATGTTGAGAACCCGCGTAAGAATAACGTTATATGAGCATTTTTGGCTCTTGAAGTTCAGATTGTACATTGCACCTCAGTTGTGCTTGAGTTTTGTAGCTGATAATGCTATATGTCTCTCAGAGATATTATCATGAACTTAGCATACTTATGACCGATACTCGATATTTTGTTGTAATAAGCAAATTTGGCTCGATGTGCATCTCCTTATGTGAGATCTATGTGTGGATCGGGTGGCACGCCGCCACGGGTATGTTATTTGGACCGGATTGCACACCGCAACAATGTGATGTTGAGCATAGTCTCTATATGCTAGTTTGCTTGCCTTACTTCCTATTTTCTAAGGAAAGTTCGTATTAATGCGTTGAATTTGTAATTCCTCCCAGAGTGTGTTTTCTTTTGTATCACGTTCGAATTGTAGCCTATTGGCATATTGAGGCGTCATATGCGGATTTTAATTATGTCTAAGATGGCTTATTGCCTGAACAGTTTGTAATGGATGATACGAGATCATTGAATTCGAGATCAGTGTGATCTGAGTATACGAAGTGAATCAAGAGGGTAAGACCATTTGATGGTTCAGAATGGGGTGGTAGTTCTGTCAGAAGTATAAACCCAGATGAATTATTAAATTCGGTGTTGTGAATTTATACAGATCTTATCTGTCATGTCGGTATTGTACGAATTTGAGCAAGACCTATGTATGTCATGAAAAGCATGGGATGTGCAATGAATTTTCATCTAGAGAGTATCAATGAAAATTCTCGACTTGTTGAGTACGTAAACATTCATGGTTTGGAAAGGAGGTGAAGTCCTCATGTTACATTAGTAAGATATGGTATATGCGATATGTTGTGAAGGATTGAAAATTTCGTGTATAAGGTTGTGGTTCAGTCCTGAATGGAAATTCATAACATTCTTAGGTAGTACGAGCAGCTTTGGATGATTTGAGAATGATCTTCAGATGATTAAGGAAATTGTATTTCTAATCTTAGTTTTTTTTTTTATCTGAATCTACTAGGCATTGTGCCTAGCATTTGATTTTCATAAATACATAAACAAGAGTACAACACAAAGGAGGGGGACATAAACCTTACCTCCTCAAAAAGGTTGAAGATGTCTTTGGGAAGACAATGTAACCCAAATAACATCCAATAGCTATGGTGAGTTAGACCTATAAGGTTGGACCAATTGTCCATCCAAATTAGATGGACAATTGATCCTACAAAAAGCATGAGTAATCCTAGGTCAACTATACAAATTAGCAAGTATGATCCTAAAATTAACAAAGTATACTGTTGGTAAGCATTCTTCCATATACAAAACCATCTACATTTATATAACATGTAGGAGTATTCTATGAAGAATAATACAAAAGGGGGCTCAAAGATGTTGACATTCTTCCTAATTGCTTTGGCATTGAAGGCAAAGAAATCAAGAAGGAAGATGCTGATTGAGTAGGGTGCAAATGCCTCTGGAGATAACTGAAGCTGTCTGCTAAGTGTCTGCTGTCTGCTAAGTGTCTTGTGGCATGCTCCTCTGGATCTTTCTGTGGATGCAACTTGTAGTTGAGAGTGAAGTTGCCCGAGAAGCCTATGAGAATTATGTTGATACTGAGATACTACAGCAATGTCCTGTGGAGAGTGTTGCTTTGGTTCAGACCTTTGGATGTTCTTCAATCTCCTGTGGCCTAGCTGTGATGTGGAATCTGTCCAAGAAGAGGAGGACTCAAGGCCAATCAGGATAGTAAATGAGGAACCATCATTCATCTGCTGCATTTCCAATAGATTGGGCATCAAAGATGCTAATACCACTGATTGATAATGCCTCAGATGAAGAGGTTTGCTCAGAGCATCTGCACAAGGAACAAACCAGTTAGACAAAACAGGGGGGCTCAACATCCGAGAGACTGGATATGAGTCTGGGGATAGGGGGAGAATTATGACCCCTGGATTTTGAAACAAGATGAAAAGAGAGGATAAGAGATAGAGGAAACAACAGGGAGAAAGAAATCTGTCGTTTGTTAGAGTGGATTGGTTGAGACTGAGTAGAAATTGGCGTGTGAAAGAGGCCATGATGATAATGGTATTGAATGTCTGAGGGTAGGGATTTAGAAAGCAATGGTTAGAGAGGAGGCTAAGAAGGGAAGGGACATTGCTGCTGCAAGCAAGAAATGGGCAGCCAGGTTTTGCAAAGTCCTGGCCTTTTTGTTGCAGCTTTTTTATCATAAGGGAACAGACAAATGGTTGGTGTGGCTCCCCTTTGAAAAAGACTATGAGAACAGAAAAAAGCAGATGGGGGAGCCTGAAGGGTGTACCTGCAAAAAAGAAACAAACTGTTATGAAAATCTGTATGAAGAACAGAGCAGAACTGTCTTCATTTTTATACATTGGGAGACAGTGCTGATCACTGATATTTCTCATGGTTTGTGTTTTGGTTGTACCTAGGTTCTTGTGTATACTGGTACAACCTTGGGTGTGATTGAGGATGATGCTTGGTTTAGGATTGACTGAGTTTGGTCTATGGGAGGAGGAGGTGTGGTTGCTGAAAATTGTGAGACTGTGATGTCTCCTTGTTGTGAGCTGAGGTGAGTTTAGGAGAATTGGGAGTTTTCTGTGCTCAGGTGCTAATTTCTGAGGTGATTGTAGAGGTTATATGTTTCGGAAAAAGGCCATGTGATTAAGTTGATGGAACTTTAATAGTATTGCAACACCTTAAGGTTGGATCGACTACTGATATTGAATTGCTTGTATAGTGCATGGAATTTTAGAGTATTTATTGCGAGATGATTAGGAATGATGATGTGTGTGCTATATGGAGTTGGAGACTGAGAGTTCTCATGTACAGGCTATTTTGTGGTTGTGGACCGTGTATGTCGGTATTGATTAATGGCTATCAGGGTTTGGAGACTCGAGTGGATCTCTACTCTTTGGTATGTTAAATTTTGTATGTGGTGTTAGAATTTAGACCGGTTGTTTTAGCGTCTAGTAATTCTGAACTAATGTACCATGGGCTATGCTAGAAATGACACAGATTGAGTGGCTAGGTGGGTTGGAATATGTTCTATAAGGTTTGCGTGGTGTGTGTTATTTGATTCGCCGTGGGTATAATGAGTTACTCTGGCTCTAGCTATCAAATGTGTATGGCTGTCGATTTTGATATAATGACTTATGGTGCTTCATATGTAACAATGTTTGAATAAGATCGCACGCTGCAGCAAAGGTGTGTAAAAACATGACCTTGCGGGTCAAATTTGTGTATCATATTTTAGTGATGTGAGACAGGGTCTCAGTTTTGTGTTGTGATAGTACTAATGAGTTTGAGGTACAACTCTCTCAATTGAGTCCTTTTAATGATTTAAGTATGTTCAGACCATGCCTTATTGGCACACGAATTATGCAAGTTGTGGCTTAGGCCTGTGTTGGATGTGCTATCATTAGAGTTGTGTGTTGAATTCGAGGTGATCGTTGGGGGCAGTGATGAATACAATCAGATTTGATTTCAACATGTTTGATGGGTAAACATCGAAGTTCGATTCAAAAATTTGTGATGAAAATTGCTAAAGGAGAAATGGCCTCATGAATGGTTGATCTGAGCAATGGTCATGATTTATGGCATGCTTCAATTATTGTTGGCAGTAAATAAGAGCGTTGAAATGAGGCATTGACAAAAAGGAGAATTCTATATGTATTTTGGTTGTTGCGAGCAATTGCTGTGAATAGAAGTTGTCGTTTCGAGTGCTTGGATTATGTGGTATATCATATGATTTTGCCGGGGTTGCAAGTATGAGTTATTTCAGTTGGTTCGGGACTATTCAAGTATAGTGTGAGATTTTGATCATACTGAAGGTTTTAGAATTTAAAAAGGAATTTCTATGATTTAGGGGCGAGACTGGACTGTTTAAATTCATTTTAAGTGTGGTATCCGGCCTATATACGATAAGGCGACGTGGAATCACTCTGTATTTATACCTGGTAAGGTTATTCAGAAGTTGTTGGGCTTTTGGAAGAACTCTAGGCACGTGCGAGGACGAACGTTTGTTTAAGTTGGGGAGAATGTAACGACCCGAATCATCGTTTCCTGTATTTATGCCCCGTAATCCCCGTTAAATTCTTGGTCATGTTTCAATATGTGTATTTGGAGAATTTGAGGCAATTTGGATTGAATTTGGATAGAAATGAGACAAATAGTCTCTTTAAAGAAGGATTAGTTTGGAAAAGTCAACCCAATGTTGACTTATGGGTTAGAGGTCTCGGAACGGATTTCCAATAACTCGAGTAGTTTCGGGGGATGATTTGTGACTTAGAAGTGAAAACGGAAGTGAATTCGGAGGTCCGGAGTGGAAGTTAGCTAAGTTTGACGAAGTTGGAATTTCGGAAGTATCTGGTTGATAGGTGAGAATTTGATCCGAGGGTCGGAATGGAATTCCGAAAGTTTCATTAGCTCCGTTAGGTGATTTTGGATATGTCTGCAAATTTTTAGGTCATTCGGACGTCGTTTGGTTGGTTTCGGCATCGGATATGGTTTTGTTAACTTTAAGTTAACTTGAATTTGAATTTGATGATTTTTGGGGATTTTTGATGTTAAAGATAGCGTTTTTATGACCCGAGCAAGTTTGAATGAGGTACTAGGATGAGTTTGTACTATTGGTTGAGGTCCCGAGGGTCTCGGGGTGATTTCGGATGGCTAACGGGTCATTTTGGAAGCTTTTTTGCCATTTTGAGCATAAATGCAATGATCTAAAGGTTCATTTTTAGTTCTAGAGATCCAAAATTGATTCCGAGACTTCCGGAATTTAAATCATGAATTATAGGACTGATCTGGAAATTTTGGTTTAATTTCACCAAGTCACGATCGGGTTTTTGACGCGATATGTGAATTAATTGTTTAACGAGCAAATTTGATATTGAACTGAGCAAATGAGCTCCAAATTCAGTTTTGTTTGAACCACTAGATCCGTATCGAAATTATGGAGTCATAGGAAAAAGAATCGTCGAATTCCGAATTCGTATGATGAAGTTATTGCATTTTTAGTGAATAAAAAGCTGCTGAAAAATTTCTGGGCAAAAGCTGGTATTTTCGCTTCTGCGGTGAACAGTACCCGCAGAAGCAGGTGAACAGTGACTTTCCGCTTCTGCGATGAACAGTGCCGCAGAAGCGATGAACAGTAACCGCTTAGGCGAAAATTTCTGGATTTTTATTTCCGGGCAGTCCGAGAGTTTTCTCATTTTTAAAAGCTAGGGAGCTCGGATTGAGACGATTTTTGGAGCAAAATGAAGAGGGTTTCGATGGGAATTGATTGGAGGTAAGTTTCTTGACTTAGAAACATCATTTCTTTGAAGATTTAACCTCTAAATTCATGGAATTAAGCTAAAAATGGAGGTTAGGGCTTGAAACCCAACAAAACTTTAAATGATGATTTGAGGGGTCAAATGGACTCCGATTTTGATGAACTTGATATGTACGGACTCGTGGCGAGACGAGGTTTCCGAAAATGTAAATTTCGTAATTTTTAGAGAAGCGGGCCCGGAGCTCGGGTTTTGTGAATTTCGTGAATTTCGATGTTTTTCGAGTCTTTTCGATTGGGTTATGTCCCATTAGCCTAATGCAATGTATACGATGTGATTTTGATCAGATTCTACGTGCGAAGAGGCGAATTCGCGAGGAAAGGGCAAAGCGGAGTAGACTTTGGACTACATTGAGGTGAGTAATATTATTAAATGATGCACTGAGGGTTTGAAACCCTATAATTGCACATTATAGTGCTATATTGAGGTGACTTGCACGCTGGACATGAGCGTGGGGTAGAGCACCATTGTGGATTAGGACTTGGTCCATCCCGGTTATCGATTTTATCGCGTATTTGCTAAAGAATTACTGTATTATACCATAATTTGGACTTATTGTCATATTTGGGCTTTGTGCCAATGATTTGAAATATTTTATGAATATTATATCACTATTTTCCTCACGTATTGAGATACTATTGATTTCAGTCCAATTGAAGTATATTATTTTGTGGACTCAGCTATTTTTATACTCATCTCGAGTTTATAAGGATATTTTTAATATTGATGAGCTGAACACCATTGTTTTACTGATGCCCAAGGGGCTTATGATTATTTTCTGGACTGATTGAGGCCAAGGGCCATCTGTGAGGAGATGTTGAGTGATGTGAGGAGGTTTTCAGGCCTCGAGTGATATGTGAGGAGGTTTCCAGGCCCCGAGTGACATGTGAGGAGGTTTTCAGGCCTCGAGTGATATGTGAGGAGGTTTCCAGGCCTCGAGTGATATGTGAGGAGGTTTCCAGGCCTCGAGTGACATGTGAGGAGGTTTTCAGGCATCGAGTGTGATGTGTGAAGGCTTTCAGGCCTATTGTTATTGCGCTTGGGCTGTAGGAGCCCCTCCGGAGTCTGTACACACCCCAGTGAGTGCAGGATACCCAGATGATATTGATATTTGGCCCGAGAGGCCGTTACTTATGAGTGATGAGTGGGGGTGAGCCCTTGGGGCAGATGATGAGTGATGATATGATTATTGAGCCCGAGGGGCAAACATGTTTTGTTCCTTACTATTTTGAAAAGAGAATTATTTGTTATGAAATGTTTACACTGCTGCAGGTAGAATTATTATGTGCATTTCATTGGATGTCATACCGTCGGTTGTTATTTAATTTTATTACCACTGGGTCGGCGTACTCACTTTACTCCCTGCACCATGTGTGCAGATATAGGTAGAGCTGATACGGCACCTGAGCGTTGATTGCATCCAGTCAGGACTGTGTCGAGGAGTGACGAGGTAGCTGTTGACGTCCGCAGCCCCGTTTTCTCCCTTATACTTTGTCATTTCAGTTATTCCAGACTTGTAAATATTTATATTCTCTGTAGTAGCTCATGACTTGTGACACCCCGATTACGGGCTGAGTCGGGATGGGTTTTGTTATACTATCATGCCTAAAATGCTTTTGGAAATATATTACATGTCGTTTAAGTATTTGAGTTATGCATTTTGAGGTTGGCTTGCCTTGTCTTCACGAGAGGCGCCCTCACGACCAGGGTTGGTATTTTGGGTCGTGACACACTGTCTCGTCAACGACCTCCTAGCACCACCGGCGACAGTCCGTCGACCACCCCAGTTGCTGCTTCATCGAGTTGCTGCCCTAGCTGCTCGTTTCTACTCTTGCTTCATCCATTTTCGTCTTAACAAACAGTCCATTTATCTCCAAGAGTTTAAATCCGAGTCGAGTTTGAATTCGTTTCATTTTTGAAATGTTGAGAAGTTCTTTATTTTTTTTGTTTGTTCTATATATATATATATATATATTGAGTTATTGATTATTGATTATTTTGTTGTATTATTTTTCTGTTTAAATATGTCGAATGTTCTTTTTCTTCTTCAAGACCTTTTATTCTGTCATTATTTTTTGTGTTTATTTAAGTATATGTTATAAGCTTTATAATCGACTCAAGTAATTTCGTCGATTAATTAGTTTACTCTCTGTTTTGCCTTTTTGTTTTTGTTCCTTGATTGTTTTGATTTTTATTTGATTGAAATAACTTGTTGTTGAACTTAGTTTTCTGCTTGAATCATTTGTTGATTTTTCGACTTATGGTCTGAATTGGTTATAGCTGGTTTGAATTTAGTTGCAGTTTAAATAGAAATTTCAGATCTTAGTTGGATTGGACTGTCACCTTTGAGCATATGAGAGCCATTGGAGGTAATTATAGCATATGCCTTGTCTCCCACCTTTAGGAGTAAAGTGAAATGAAAATTGATTTTTATGTACTAATGGCTGGAATGCACATGAGATTAATTAGTGAAACCTGCTGTAAAGTAGGATATTCCCTAATTTTTGAACTGCATGAATTTTAAAACTAGTTAAAGAAAACATAAAGAATAATCAGAAATCTGGTCAGTTTTAAATGAATTAAAACAAGTTGTAAAGGGCTGTCTAGTTTGGTTGTATAAGAGAATGTTTCAGTTGAGTTTAGAGGGGGATTTTTTCTAGAGATCAGATATTCAGGAAGGAAAATAGAGAGTTAAGACTGAACTACGTAAAAGTTTTCAGTTTTCTGAGTTCATTCACAAGTAGAAATACTCCTCCTCCTTGCATTTGGATCACCCTTCTTTGTTTCAAACTGTGAGCGTGTTGTGATTGTATTGTTGTGTGTTATTGGGTTTCCGGCGTAATATTCCTGGGTCGCTATTTGGAAATTCTGCATTGTTTCATCGGGTTGGCTACTGGATTTTCTGTTTGCTTTGAATCTGACCATTCGATTTTTCTGTTATTATTCTGCTTTTGGATTTATTGTTGTGGTTGTTCGAATTAGTTGTTGTACTGTGTTACCCTGCTGCTGCTGACCTTTCTTTTCTTCTTCTGCTATATTCAAATACCAGGTACACACATCTAATACACTGGTTCAAATGTAGCTTCAAATGTAGCTGAGACTTGAAGCATGAATAAAAATGAAGTTTTAAAGCTTCGAATTTATTTAGTTGTATTTTGTACCTTAAATTATATATACGTAGTTATTAGTCTTCACTAGAAGTGCGTAGTAGCCTGTATGTTAATTTAAAAGAACCAATAATATAGTGGTAGCATTTTGATATTCCAGTCTACTTTGCTTGCAAACATGTTCCAAATGTGCATAACGCTTTAGGTTAATTAATCAGTAGTTTAAACTCTTAGTTAATAACTGGTTCATTTTAGATTCATAAAAAAACAGGTTTCATTAGCTATTGATTTCATTTCTACCCCATTGTAAATCTTGAAAGTGTGCAGTATAATGTAATTAGGTCCCAAATTTAGAGTAAGACGGTCCAGGCCAAGTTTCACATCACTTACGTTGGGCTTGGGCCCAAAACTATTAAACAGACTGTCCTTATTGCATCATTTTTAGATTTAGCGAATCATGTTCGAAACTTCAATTATAATAAGTTTAAAGCTTGTAAATAAACTAGGAATTTTCTTTTGTTTTAGTAAAAAAACGAAATAGAAATGTAGCCATTCTAGGAATTAATTTCAATAGTTTTATATAACAATGTAAGTTTTAGTCTGGCTATAATTAATTTCTTTTGAATATTAATCGTCAATTTTCATGTTTTATTTATAAATTTCGATTTTTTTTAAATTTATAATTTTGAATTTTACTTTATTTATTTCTTACCCGCTAATCTTTGACTTAATCTAGCAATAAATATGTTACGTTTTTTAAGCATGTAATTAATTAGGATTTTTCTCTTTTTATTTTATAGACGAATTAATTAGAAAATGTAGTCATTTAGGCTTACCCTTTTAAAATAAAATGAGGCGTGCCTTGACAAATAAATTAAAAATTGTGGGGGCCTCAATAAATACTGCTAATAACTCCTTAGAACTCGGGATAGGCCGTTTAAAAAATTTCACGGCCTTCTCAAAACAATAAACGCGGTAGCATCTTTAGGCGTATATTTAATAATCTTACCTTCTTAAAATCAGGTGTGCATTTCATGCAACCCAAATCTAAATCCCAAAACGTTGAATAATGTGTGTCTAGGATTGCGGGTTCATTTCATGCGGCGTAATCCGAAAACATATTTTAAACGACGTTCACTTTCTCAAATAAATATTAAATAAAAGCGGTAAAAAGTAAAAAATTGACATATAGGTTCTTCATGTAATAAAATCAGATAAATAGCTAAATGCGATAATTTAAGCGACCGTGCTAGAACCATGGGATCCGAGGGTGCCTAATACCTTCCCTCGAGTCAACAGAATTCCTTATTCAGAATTTCTGGTTCGCAGACTCCAATTGGGAGTCGAAATTTTCCTCGGTTCGGGATTCAAGAAAAACTAGTGACTTGGGATACCAAAAGCCAAACTTTTCCTGAGTGACTACTCTGAAATAAATAATCCTGTTCCGATTGTCCTTTAAATGGAAAAACTCCCTTGCGCACCTTCGCGGGTGCTGAAAAAGGAGGTGTGACATCCACATTCCTACACTTCAACTCGCATAATGGGATATCACTATGATTACGAACTTCACCCATGAAGGCTAATCAGCAAGACCAACCAAAGTGCACCATAAGGTACCAACAACTCAATACAAGCTAACAATGTAAATAAACAGAACCATGAAAATATTAGATACTCCAAATATGAGGGCGATAGTTAATACGGAGCAATTAGGCATGGAGACATTTATGGCAAATAACAATTAAAGCATAGAAACAGTTTAAGTAGGTAGCAATTAAGACAATGAATGATATAATAGGAAATGGAGAAGGGAACGAATTAAAAATAAAAATTTGGTGGCGCATAGGTACTCGTCATCACACATATACACCACACACATGAGATTTTATATAACACACAAGCCGTGAATTCCTATTCCATCAAGTCAAGGTTAAACCAAACACTTACCTCAAGCTGACGGGTAATTCAACACTCAGCCACCACTTTACCTCTCGATTCCACCACCAATTCATTCGTATCTAGTCATAATTAATTCAATAACATCAACAAATGCTAAATAAACTAGTTCTAATGCATGAATATGAATTCCCAAATATTTTCTGCAAAAAGTCAAAAATCGACCCCGGACCCGCTTGGTCAAAACTTAAAGTTCGAACCAAAACCTGACTACCCATTCACCCACGAACCCAAATATGTAATTAGTTTTGAAATCTGAGCTCAAATTGAGGTCTAAATCCCCAAAATTTGAAAATCTTAGTTTCTACCCAAAAACACCCAATTCCCTATGAAAACCTTAGATTTTGAGATGAAATCATGTAAAAAGATGAAATAGATTGAAAGAAATAAGTTAGAAGTTGTTTACCTACGATTTGGAGAATAATTTTTCTTTGAAAAATCGCCTATGGGAGCTTAGGGTTTGAAAAATTGAAAGAATGAGTTGAAATCCCGTCAACATCCCACTTAACAGGTCGCAGATGTAGCAATTGCAACAAGAGCTTCGCAATTGCGAAGCTCGCAAATGCGAGACAGGCTTCACAATTGCGAACCTGCTACATGTCTGCTTCCTTTACAATTGCGAGATACTGGTCTGTGATGACCCGACCCGTCATCTCATATGTTACCGTCCCGTTTTTCCCATTTTATGCTTCTTCATGTTTCATTATCTGCGTTTGGTGAGTTTGAGTTGATTCGGATTGATTTAGGCAGGAAATGAGATACTTAGTCTCTTTAAGGAAGACTTGGTTTGGAAAAGTCAACTGGATGTTGACTTGTGATTTAGAAGGCTCGGATGCGATTTCCGGTGATTCGGTTAGCTTCGGGGGATGATTTGTGACTTAGGAGCGTGATCGAAAGTAGTTTTGGAGGTTCGGTGTAGAAGTTAGCCTATTTTGGCGAAGTGGGATTTTGGTGGACTCCGGTTAGTAGGTGAGATTTTGATCCGAGGTTCGGAATAGAATTCTGAGGGTTGCAGTAGCTTCGTTAGATGATTTGGGATGTGTGTGCAAAATTTCAATTGATTTGGAGGTGTTTAGGTCAGGTTTTTGATCGAATACAAGTTTCAGATGTTTTGGATGAACTTAGGCTTTGATTTGATGAAATTTGATAATTTTGGTGTTAACCGTAGTGTTTTGATGATTCGAGCAAGTTTGGATAAGGTATTGTAGCATATCTATATTTTTGGTTGAGGTCCCGGAGGCCTCGGGGTAGTTTCGGATGGCCAACGGGAAGAAAAGTGGACTTGTGTGTTTACTAAAAATATTTGGTATCTCATAGGGCGCAGAAACGGAATTTAGGGTCAGGGCATGTTCTGCAGAAACGGAAGCCTGGACTGCGGAAGCGGTCTCGCGGGTGCGATTTCTGGACCGCAGAAGTGGTCATGGCCCTTAAGTGAACTTTCGCAGAAGCGGTCGGTGGCCCGCAGAAGCGGTATTGGACCGCAGAAGCGAACATGGGCGAGCTAGGGAGTTCCGCAGAAGCGGTAGTCGCACCTGCGGAAATGGAACCGCATATGCGAAAAGGGCTGGACAGAGGTATTAATTCCATCTTCGCGAATTTTTGAAAGAAATGTACCACTTCGGACTTGGGAGCTTTTGTGCGATTTTGGAGAGGGAATCAAGGTACTTCATTGAGGTAAGGAATTCTAAGCCTAAAACATAAATCTAATGTGTTATTACATGAATCAAGGGTGAAAAATCAAGGAATTAGAGGTAAAAAATGGAGATTAGGGCTTGAACTCAAGAGAAAGAAGAATGGGGATTTGATGGGCCATTTGGACTCTGATTCTGGTAATTTTTATATGTATAGACTCATGGCGAGATAAGGAACTTATTGGTGTTAAATTTTCTGAATTTTGAGAAGTGGGCCCGCGGTTCGGGTTTGCAAATTTTGGGATTTCTCGTTGTTTGTCAATTATTTTGATTGGGTTTTGTTCCCTTGGTATATTGTAACGTATTCGTTGTGATTTTTGGTCAGATTTCGACGCACGAAGAGGTTAATTCGAGAGGCAAAGGCACTGCGAGCTAGACTTTTGGCCGGCTAGAGGTGAGTAATGATTTTAAATGATGTCCTGAGGGTTTGAAACCTCAGATTTGCACAACGTAGTGCTATGTTGAGATGAGACACGCGCAGTGTGACGAGCACGGTGTCATTTACTATTGGGATTGTGACTTGGTCCATCTTGGTTGATATTTTACCGCGTATTTGATTAAGACTTATTGTTTTCCACCATACTTGGGCTTATTGCCATATTGGGGCTTCGTGCCGACTATTTGAAATGCTTTGTGAACTCCCATCATTGTTTCCTCACTATTATTTGAATTCAATCCCACTTGAATTACACTATTTCATGAAATCATCTATATTTTTACTCGACTTGAGCTTTAAAATTATATTTAAACTATGTTCGAGGTGAGCACTATTATTTTACTATTGCCTATTTCATGGACTGATTGAGGCCAGGTGCCGTATGTGAGGATACGTTGAGTAATGTGAGAAGGCTTTCAGGCCTCATGTTGATATATACAGGCTTTCAGGCCTTATGATGATATAGCGCTTGAGCTGTAGGAGCCCCTCTGGAGTCTGCACCCCCACAGTTAGCTCGGGTACCCATGTGATTTGAAATAGTGGTAACAATGTCATTGTATGATATAAACGAGTCAGGTAACAATGGCTGACCAGGAACTAATCTGAGCCCGAGGGGTTGGTTGCTGATTATTCTTTACTTGTCGAACACGTTTGTCTTTAACTGCTTTAAAAAGAGAATTTTACTGATACTTCACTGTTTTTATTGCCTGTCTGATTTTACTGCTTGAGATAGCGTTCCTTTGTGCATTCATGAGATTTCTAACTTTCAGTCATTATTTATTTTTGTTACTCACTAGGTTGGAGTACTCACAATACTCCCTGCACCGTATGTGCAGATACAGGTAGAGCTGAGTTCGTCCCTGAGTGTTGATTTCCTTCCAGACCGGACGGACTAGGAGTGACGAGATAGTTGTTGGCATCCACAACCCTGTTTCTCCCTTATCTTCTATTGTTTATATTATCTTCAGACTTTGTTCCTATCTCCAGACTTGTATACTTTAGCAAACTCTGTAGTAGCTCGTGACTGGTGACACCCCAATTTCGGGCTGTGTTAGGATGGTTCCCTGTTATTATCGTTTATTTAGTGCTCACGTTGATGTTAATTATGTTTTTAGATTTATAAATGTTAAGTAACTGTTAAAAGGAAGCGTTGTATTTTGTTGGCTGGACTTGTCTTCACAAGAGGCGCCATCACGACCGGGTTTGGGTTGCAGGTCGTGACATGGTCGCAATTGCGATGACTTCCCTTCCTTGATGGCTTCGCAATTGCGAAGAAAAGTTCGTAAATGCGAACAAGGCATGCCTGGGCTTTCCTCGCAAATGCGATCAAGCCCTCGCAATTGCCAAGTCTGTTGGGCTTACAATTGCGAAGCTTGACCTTGCAATTGCGATATCAGAGCCTGCAACACATACCAGCTGCAACAACAATTTTATCTAAGTCCAAACTCACCCCGTGGCCTATCCAAAACTCACCCGAGTCCTCGGGGCTCCAAACTAAATATGCACGCAAGTCTAATAACATCATATGGTCTTGCTCATGCGGTCAAATCATAAAAATAACACCATCAACTTCGAATTTAACCTCAAATTTATGAAATTCTTTAAGAACATTGAAATTTCTATTTTCTCAACTAAAGGTCTGATTCATACCAAATCAACTCCGATTCTTACCAAATTTCACTAAGTCTACTTAATTATTATTTAAAACCTCTACCGCACTCCGGAACCAAAATACGTGTACCATCAAGAACACACACATTTTCATTTTCAAAAGCCCTTATATTTTCCAGCAAAATTTTCTCTAAAAATTCTTTTCTCGGGCTAGGGACCTCAGAATTCGATTCCGGGCATACGCACAAGTCCCATATTGACTAAGCACCCTACGGGACCATCAAATCACAGGTCCGGGTCCGTTTATCAAAAATATTGATCGAAGTCAACTTTAATTAATTTTAAAGGCCAAATTCATTATTTTTCTTAAATTGCAATAAAAGCTTTTCGGAAACGCACCTGGACTGCGCACGCAAATCAAGATAAAACAAAAGGAGATTTTTAAGGCCTCGAACCACATATTTGACTTCTAAAATAATAGATGGCCTTTTGGGTCATCACAATTAGTAATGTTTTTGTTAGGTTTTCTTAAATTACGGGTTCGAGTCATCGTAGGGGCGGATCCAGCGACACCGCTTCATTGAGTTTCTTTACTGACTATATATATTAATACTGTGAGAAAATGGATAAGTAGAAAAAATGACACCACTTGACGTAAATTATCTTTTGGTGTAGTTTATGTGCTTGATTTTTCTCTAAGAGGTCAAAATTTCGAACATCAACTAGCATATATTTTTCCTGCAAATACTTGAGGGAGCCTCTATAGTTAAAAATTATGATAAAGTAGAATTGAACTCAGGACCTTTTTCTACTTTAGATTCAACAAAGCCAATAAACTAAGACTATTTCTTGTCTAGAAGTATGATAATTAATGTTATTATTCCCATTCTTCTAGACTAAGACTTTCTTGTCTAGAAGTATGAACATTATCATTCCCTTTCTTCTCAACCACTTTAAAAAAAAATTCTACGCACTTGAGCCGTAAAATATTTTAGGGTGCGGCTCTTCTTTAAACTCTGCGCGTGCATCGGACTATCCTTTTAAAAACTTTTGTTGCTGAAAAGGTCGTTGAATACTCTTTTTATACAAAATTTTTTGTTATTAACGGAACTTAAAAACAACAAACATCCCATAACATTTACTTATACCAAAAAAAGTTATCTTAAAGTTGCCTAGACGAGCACATAGGTTATAGGTTTGGTCACCAAACCCTTTCTTTTAAAGTTTCTATAAATAGGAGAAAAAATGCAAGAATTTTAATCATTCCACAAATATCAATATCAATATTCACAAAATGGTTTTCAAGACAAATAATATTTTGCTTATCAAATTTTCTTTGCTTATGATGATTTTCTCAGAGGTTGCTGCTAGGGACATGTCTGCTCGTCCTTCACATCCATTCATACTTGAATGTAAGTTTTCTATCATATTTTTGCTGCCTTTTAATTATATTCTTTTATAGCTATTTTTTATATGAAAATGGTGAAAAGTATACTCGTTTACTGTATGAAATATCTTTATCATGTGTTATACTATAAGGTTATTCGTACCATTGATACAAGTAAATCATCGAGCTCCAACTTAATAACGAATGATAAAAATAAAGGGGTAAATTTTTCTATTCCCGAACTATTTTGACATGTGAAATTCACACCATCAATGGTAGAGGCTCCTCTGAGGAAATATGAGAGAATTCGCTAATGACAAAGTATGAATGATCTCAAAGTATAATATATAATAAAATGTGAAATACATAAATACCTTTTAAATTTGGCGCGTTTTATTCAGCCCCCATTAAACTTTATTACCTAGTCCTAATTATTCCCCGTGTACTTGGTTTTTTCATCGTAAGTGATCTCACATGTCCTTTGACGCGTGAGAATATAGATTAAAATACCATTCTTTTATTTTTTAACCATTTCAATGGCCATTTCTTTATATTCTTCAATATAACTTTTTTCATCCTCCACTAAAGTACTGATTTTTCTTCTTTTCTCATTTTTTTTTTCATTTCTTTCCTTATTAGATACATTTTAGTCTTATTTATTAGTTGACTCTGTTAGTGGGTTATTATCTATCTATATAAATATATAATTGAGGGACCTAACATAGGTTACGTGGCATGCCTCATTGCACGGGGATGGCCTTTCTCTTTTCTCTCAATTTTTAGAGCTTCTCCGATTTTTTCCCAATTTATCTCCGAGAAAGTCAGCGTTAAATTTATTTATTTGGAAAACCCAAACGTTTCCTCTTATAATCGTTTCCATTAATTTCTAACAAACCCTTTCTTCTCATGCTACTCTCTCTTCTCTCTCTTCCATGGAATAAAAAGTACTTTCACTTTCAATTATGTATTCCTTTCTTTTCAACTTGGACGATCCTTCTCTTATAAATCAACCGCTGGAAATTCATCAAGTAAATGTCAAAATTGTATCATATGTGGTTATCTGAATTGAAATTAAATAGTTGCCATTCAAGTTGGTAACTTAAGCGACAAAAAGTCCTGGTAATTTTACTTGCTTTTTTTTAAAAAAATATCAAAAAACTTAAACTGCATTTTTCAGATGTTTCTGATCCAAAATTTCTGCTACAAAATAGATGTTCTCATTTTTTGCTCTCTTGATTTTCTTTTAATTGGGAAATTAATTTTGAATTGTGCTTTCAGTATATGTCTTCACTACAATTTCAAGCTTTCTTCACTTGGCTTCGATAACAAAGGAGAAGAGAAGCATTTTTTCCAGTAAAAGATGAACCACTATTATCATTACTTGGTAATGTATTCCTTCTCCCTTTTCTCTTCTAAGTTAATTTTTGTATCAAGATCTATTTAAGTAGTGTGTTTGTGTCACTTGGAGTCTTGGACACTAACATAAACATGCGTATTTGTTAGGTTTCTAGACTAATAGTAGCTATCTTAATGATATATATTTCATTGTTAAAATTTGTTCACACCCGATGTTTGCATCAACTCAGTGAACATCTAATATATTTCTCTACAATCTTTTAGAACTTCATTATATTCAATCAATACGAATTTTTAGATGGGAAGTATACAAACACGTATTAATTTTGCTGATTCTTTTCCCGATCTTATTTTATTTGATTTTGTGATAAAAAATAAATGGTGTTGATTTATGCCAATTTTTAATATAGGAAGCAACAATGTAGACTGGTGGTAGTGATGGTGGCTCTGCCCCTACTTCTTCCATTGAGGTTTATCCTTTGGTTAATTCCACTGAGGGATTGTATAAGGGTTATGTTTATTTAGGATACATAAAAAATAAGCCTTCTGGGGTATTTTACCTTTTTGCGCAGCCTAATTTTGATAATTGTGATTGAGAAGCCCCAGACTTTATTGAAAGCAGAGTAAATTTGATAATTTTTTCCTTACGGTTTATATGTTGTTTGTATATACAAATTTGAGACTCAAACGGAGATACATTATGTGAAATGGAGAGTGTTTGTCTTGAAATTATGATTAGGTTGTGGAAACGTATCAGTCCAAGCATATGGATTCAGGTGAAACTTTCCATTTGCCTATCACAATATTCTCTTGGTCGTGTGATTCGTGAGAGACAAAGACCAAAAAAAGAAAATCTGAGATAATCATATTTTCTCAGAAAATATAGAAAGCACAGCCAGTTAAGAATTATAATCCTCTTTCCCTTTCCTTCTTAAGGCAAAAATCTAAATAGTGACTAATTATAGAAAAGTTGGATGAAGAAAGAAAAAATGAAAGAAAGAGATGAAGTCGTGGGGAGGGGATGGGTGAAAAAGGATCCAAAAAAGGTTTCAATGACAATAGATCAAATACATAAAGTGGAAAAGGCGTAGGTTTCTTATGATCTTCAGCAACAGTACAGAGCCTTGATAGAAACGTAACGAAATACACATTTTTCAGTCTATTCCTCAATACATTTCACCATCATCAAATAAATAATTATTTTTTTGTTATTTATCTCTTTTAGACTTGCTCTGTATATGATTTTATTCTCATCTAGGTGTTTGTTTCCTCACTTGGTGTTTCGAGTTTATTTCGTCAATAGTGGGAACGATGTTGATATGTCTATTTTTAGTATATTATTTAATGGCATGTAAGCTTTCTCTCTAACCATAGATCTCATAGGTTTTATGTTAGTTTTCCTTGAACATACTTTTATACCTCTGTTGTTTATATAACTCTCTGCTTTGTTCATAGCGAGTGAGGAAAATTGTTAGTAGCTCTATTTCATGTATAAGACCTAGAAGTTCAAGGGATCATATTTGATTGATGTCTAGCCTAATGGATTGGAGTTCAGACTTATGATGCTTCCATGTTAAAAATGAGAGTTAAACCCAAGAGTTTAAAGGATTTCAAGGGGAAAAACCCCCGACTATGATACCTTATAGCTTTATGATTCCTTCCTTTTCTTTTTGTTCAATGTTTTGCAGTACTTGATAATTAATATTATTCAAGTACAGAAGTTAAACCTTGAATATTTTGACATGTTTTTTCATAAATTAGATATGTTGATCGTGAAATCTTCCAATATCTTCTCCATGTCTTATTAATCTTGGAGTTGGATATTCTGCACTCAATATTGAAGTATAGAAGATACTCTTGGTTTTCTGCTTGATATTCGAAGATTAATATAGAGCGTATTTATATTACGGCCGTACATGGGTGATGTTACTGCAACTTGGTAACGATATAAATATTTTTTTATGCAGGGCTACCTCTGAACTTTCAAATAATAACCCTCCAAAGCAACAACAAACTATGAGACACTGGCGAAACGAGGAACAATCGTGCAGTAAATACTACTGAGACTATAAATAGTTTACAAAAAGTCTGACAAGAAACAATGAAGTCTTGTAACTTTCGTTCAAAGAAATTTCATATATTACTATTGAAACAAACTTAAATTATCAAGTTAGTACTAAAGTGAGGAAGGTATTGCGAGAAAAGTTTATAGTTATCATATAATCTAAGCGAATTTGTATTAATCTTTTTTTAATCAGTGTGACTGTATATCATTCTTTATTTAACAGTCCCAGAAAGAATATGCAATTCTCCTGATTTTAATTTACACTACACATTGAACTCATTGGGAAAAGGTGAATATTGATGTACCTGTATTCATTTTAAATGCATTACCTCCAATTGTCACCTTTATTACAAAGAAGTTAAGAGATCAGATCATTTGGCAAGACCATCTAAAGAACATAAGATACCATGTACGCTAATTCTTCGGTTTGTACTTCCTCAGATGAAATGATATGGACTTAGTTATCGCAAAGTCAAAAATTTGGTTGCCGTTTCAAGTGGATATTCAATTGGTTCAACAGAAATACCTTTATCATTCTACTGAGTACTTTATGTCTTCAATCTCCATTGTTATAACTAAATGATATATTCCATAAATTGAAAATTTTATTTTACGGCCGCGCGAAGCGCGGGCAAATTAACTAGTATATATATAAAAGAAGAGGCAAAGAAAGCTTATGATGACAAGTGGAATAATATTAAATTGACAAATGTCTAAATTTAGGACAATTCTCCAACTTTGTTGGAGTTTAAATTATTTTAAATTTTAAAAATTTGCAAGTTAAAACAAACAAAGAAAATCATAGTTCCTCCCATGCACGTTTGTTTGGTATTCTTGAATTTATTTATTAAATAAATTTGGGTAGTAAAAAAATTAGTTAATTCCCTTTGCAAAATTTTACAATAAAATAGGGAAAAAGAAGAAAAAAAAACCCCACGATCCCAACGTGGGCTTTATCTCTAACGTGGTAACGTCACGCACAGGTTGTATCGCAAGAGTAGTGCAACGTATATGGTCTGTCATATGTGGATTGTAACTCATCAATAAAGTAAAATTGTATTTCAGTTATAACTAAAGAAGTTAAATGTGACAATCTACCAGAGGAAATTTACCGGAGGAATTCGCCGCTTTCGTCGGAAAATCTGTCGGAGAGTTGCACTGCTGAGTTGGCTCGGTCGAATTCCGGCGAGTCTTCTTCTCCGACTGTTGAGAATTCCAAAGATGATTTGCTTCAGAGTAGAAATGCAACCACGGTAATTATATTGTTTTCACGTTTTTCTCTTTGTAATTTTCGTTGTATCTTTGATATATTCAGAAAGGATTTGCTTAGTTTTTATTTTAGTTTTTTTCGTAAGATTTTGGTGAACAGCTGTAACACAATTTGCTAAAAGATCACCTAACTGATTATCTTTTCGTGTTTATTTTTGTAACTCACAAACGTATTTTTGTATTGTGGTTAAGCCAAATGGCAATATAAAATGAGAGTAATATGCATTGTGGTTAAGCCAAGTGGCAAGCTAAAATGAAGTTACTTGATAATTTTAGGATAACATTAATAATTAAAAATTATAAATGAAAAAATAATTAATAGAAGCAGTTTAATGGATCTTATACATTACTAAATAGATCTTAGACAAATAATATATATATTTATATTTATATTTATATTTATATTTGTATCTATATATTGATCCACTCATAGATGATCTTCTATATTACCTAGAAATATGGAGAAAAAAATTATTTAAAAAAACTATAAATAGAAAAAAGTAAAAAATATAGAGATATGTAAATTGAGATAACCTATGACTATTTATATTTTGGAGTAAGTTAAAATATAAAATAAAACTAAAATTTACTTAAGATATTAAAGATTTATTTTGTTCAAAAATTTAATAAATTCAAGCAGCAAAATAAAATCTTATATAAAGTATACAAATTATTTATAAGGTAAGAAAAAAATTAAAGAATATGTAAAAATATATTTTAATAACAAGAATAATATAGTCATATTAATATTGATAAATGGGGCAAACAAATATTTTATACGTAAATATTACTACAACATTTAGATATAATGTGTTCAAATAATTTTTTAAGAAAATATTATTGTATGATTAATATTTGAATTGAGTGCAGTTAGTTTAAGTTTGAAAGCATAATATAAATCTTTAAATGAGGTCCAATTTATAAAATAGAATGATAAAAAAAAATATTTGAATTTGGGATAAGAAAGTTATTTAATTTTTATCTATATTATATTAGAATGAGTGTGAAAGAAATATATATTAAATTCAAACAAGATAATAAAAATTCACATGACAATGTAATAATATTAGGAATTGAATAATATAATATAAAAAATAAAGACTAAATATAGAAAAAATAAAAATTTTGAGTTTTTATCATAGAGAAAAAGGGCAAAATTAATTTAAATTTGAGATAAGAAAGTCTTTTATATTGTGATAAGAAAAGTCATAATATGAGTAAGTCCACGTAACTCAAGTCTAATATACAAAATCAAAAACTAAAATATCGAATAATAAACATATATTAGAGATAATGTTAGGATATTTATAAATCACAATTTTAAAAAAATAGAATAAATTAAATATACAATAATTAAAAATATTATTAAAATTTAAGTAATTTAAAAATTTTCAAGCAATATTTTTTAATCAAAATAAATATTTATTTTAAGATTAAAAATTATATGTTTATCTATATTATATTAAAGAATAGTAGTTGGTAATGATATTAGACAAAGTTATAAGTTAATGAAAAGTCACATAAAACGTAATAAGACTATATATCATATTAAAAAATAGCAAATTTATGTTAAATTATTAAAAATTTACTATTCGAAATGAAAGGGAAAGACTATTTAAATTTGAAATTAGAAAGTTCTTAAACTATAATGAGAATGCTCAAAATATGGATAATACCACAAATTGAAGTCTTATTTATGAAAATAAAATAAAAAATAAAATAATAAAATAAAAATTTAAAAATAAAAAATAAATTTCTATATAGGTAATTTTAATAATAAAAATAAAAATTAAATATTTATCTTAAAACTAAAAAAGAAAGAAAATTTACGTCCAAAAATAAAATGACAGTGAAAATATTGCTACAACCCTCAGATATAATGTGTTCAAAATAATTAATAAATATTTTTTATGATTAAAATAAAATTTTTAAAATACAAAATAAAATTTTAATATAGGTAATTTTACTAATAAAAATTAAAAATTAAATTTGCATCCCAAATTTTATATCATGCTTCATAATTAATATCTAATATTATATAATTTTTATCTCAGAGGTTTATATTTTAAGGTTATTCGCACATGATTCAAACAATCTACATCACAATCTGACATGATTTTTGTCCGCGCATGGCGCGGGTACTAATACTAGTTGTTCATAAAAAGAGTTACAATTATGAATTGAATGGAAAATTTACTTTCTAGAGCAAGAAACTCAGAGATGAGTCGGAAATACAAGCTTGGGAAATCGTCTAAGGAAAGCCCTATAATTTCTCTAACAGATATAAGATTCTTTTTTATTTTGGAACTTCATACTAAATTATTTAAGTTGAGATAATTAAAAAGTTATTTTTTTGCCACTGTGGACAGCCACATCAGCTATTATTCCAATCTGGTAGTGGTGGGCGTGTGATTAGATGTTTATGCCAATAATAAAATTAAGATATTTCAATTCAAATGGGTAAATTTTGACCTTTTTCCTGTAGAAAATGAAACAAAGAGAAAAAAGGCCCTCTATTTGTATGCATCTTCCCGTAGTTGTTGTTGTTGTTATTATTATTATTATTATTATTATTTTTATTATTATTGTTGTTGTTGTTGTTGTTGTTGTTGTTGTTTTTGTTATTATTATCTAAGAGGCAAAGTCAAGAATGCCTTTGTATTCCCTAGCTAAAATAATTTATATACTATAATGTAAGCTACGAGTTTAAATAAAGGAAAAATAGGAATGGTTTCTCCATTTGCTTTTCACAATTTTTATAATGCGATTTATAGCCGTGTTTGTTTGTAAATTCTAATAGTTTCTTTCGTGATTAAATTCATGTATGACTTTAGAGTTCTTCTACGGTACTTCCTCCGGTCCAAAACAAATGATTTTTTAGTTGTTTTCACACAGATTAAGAAATTCACATTTTAACATTAATTAGCAATGAATACTCCTAACACATACTCTAATACTATTTACTCCAAGGGCAATGTAGGAAAAAATAATTAATTCATTCTTGAAATCTGGAAAAGACATTTATTTTGGACTACAAAAAAAAAGCAAAAATATTAGTACTTATTTTGGACCGGAGGAAGTAATAGTTAAGTTAATTAAAAAAAAAATTATAGTCATATATTCAAGTAAAAACTTATTTACTATAATTGTAAATAAAACTATCTTTAATTTATCACGTTAAATTAACTGAACTATGCGTGAATTATGCATAAATTTTTTTTTTTTAAAAAAAAAGGTAAAACAAAAAGGCACAACCTAGCTGTAAAATTGGGCGCGAAAAACTACCTTTTACTTTTTCCTGTTTAGATTAAGAGCATGGGAATAGTTTATCAGCCAACATTATGAGGACTAAGTTTGAATAAGTGTATGTTCAAACTCAATATTGTAAGTTGTCGTTCATTGTATGTTCTTGCTCGAATTTATTTATAAAATATTTTGCTTAATTAATGAAATTTCCTTTTGTAGCACTAATTCTTTTGAGGATAATAGGGGTGCTTGTCGGGCAGATCGGACGAATAATCACGCTTAATGATTCGTTTTATCGGTTATCGGATTATAAATATAGCAATCTGCTAGTCATTCAATAAGAAAACGGGTGAATTGGTATCGAATTGACAATTATCGGACGGTTATTGCATGGTATATCGGCTAAACCAAATAAAAAAAATTGACCGCCAAATGCATAGTTCAAATTGTCTCTGTTAGTTGCAGTAGCTTTTTCTTATTAGAAGCCAAAGACGACTGCCAATGCCATTAGCTACAGAAAACGACTGTTCTGTTGAGAATTAGAAATTAGGGATTTAGCCGTTTAGGTTTTAGTAGTACTTTATATAAATAGGGTAAAGGTATAAATATAAAACTTCTTAACAGGTTAACGGTTTGCTCGATAAAAAATTTTGAATAATCCACTCCCAAAACGTTAAGCCGTTAATTATAAAATTGCAATTCATTCACTATATATTACTCTGATAATCCGATATCAATAAATCAATAAGCTTTTATTTCAGTTCAGTTAACGATTTCGGTTCGGTTTTGAACCGGATACGCTTTAGCCACTATCAAAAGTAATTATTCCTAAGATCATGCCTTTTCATTAAAATCTTAATCCAAAATCTAAAAGATCCTAACAAATCAATTCAATGCATCTCCAATAATTATTCGAGCATCCCAAATCAACAAGAAATTAAAGTAATTTCAAACTTTGCCTTTTTAATTCTTTATCACCAACCTAACTTAGCTGACCCACTCCATCAAATTCATTCTCACACACAAACTTTTTCCTAATACGTGTCACCTCTTTTATGAAACCACAACTATGTACAACGTTGATTTGACCTGTCTCCTACAATTGC